GTAAACATTTTTTGTTCTACTTTATTTATTTTTTATTTTCTTTGGTTGGTCTCTTTTTTTTTTTTTTGATTTTTTTTTGTTGTTGTTTTTCTTACTGGCTCTCCGCTTTTGTTTCTAATACTCTAAGTGGGGAACAAGAAAAATCAGGAATGATAAATCTTCAAAAATACTCTATGTTGGAGGAAGTACGTTCAAGTACATTCCACCCCTAACACATGTGAATAAACACATGTATACAAATATATATATATATAAAGTGTGTATTTGTGAATGTGTACTTTATGTAAGTGTGTATTTGAGTTCATGCCGGGTGTTGCATATCGTCTCTTCAACACCCATGCTGATTCTTCTCCTTCACTCACATTAACATCACACACAGAGACACACATGTTTACACAAAATAATAATAAATAAATAAATAAAAACAGAGAGAGAGAAAGAGATGTGTATCTATAGGATGTGTTCCACCTCCGTGGTGTCACTATCATCATTATTATCATCATCATCATCATCATCATCATTGCTGCTGCTGCCGTTGTTGTTGCTGTTATGATCGTTAATAGCAATAGCGATGGTTTTAGACCTTCGACGAGATTCCTGCATCTTTGCTACACGTTCCGTTTGTTTGATGAGTTTTCGCATTCGTCTAGCCACTAACACAGAGTGTTCTAATGATCCCTTTAGTGGCCCTGCAACTTGTACACTTCCACTATCTCTCCCAGTAGCCATACTGTTCTTCTCACTTTCCTTTAGCGTGGCTCCACGAAGTAAATGACTTAATGAAGCCCCTCGTCGACGTAAATGATAAATAGTATCATTACATCGCTTCCATGATGAAACAGGATAATTATCCGTTGGCCCTACAGACTCCACCGTGGGAAGACTGGAATCAAAGGCCACACATTCCGCATTCGCCACCACCATGTTTGGTGTAAAGGAAGAAATACTAAGCTGCTCCGGGTTACGCACACGACTCATCGCAACATAAAGAAGATGTTCACAAGGCCACATACGGGATAATTCAAGATGTACACGACCTACTAAAGTGAGTCCCTGTACTTTATGCACCGTGAACGCATACGCCAGTGTGAGTGGGAGTGCCACACTGCTGAGTGTGTAGTAGTTTGTAATTGGCCCACCGCCCACAGTGAACTCCCACGGGGGAACTGTGATGATCTCACCACTGTGGAACTTCACTACAGGCAGTAGGGGAACTTGCATTCCACATTCCGTCATACAATAAATACGGTATCGTTCTACACAGTTATCAACACGTTCACTGCGAAGGAAACCAGGAATATTATCAAGAGAACATTCTACAAAATCTATTACGGTACCAATACTTCCATTCACTAAACGTGAATTTAAGTTTGCTCGTAATAGTACACGACATCCTTTTTTAAATGTTATAGGTTGCGCAATAGGATGTTTGGACATGAGTTTCTGCAAGTATTCTTCACTTTCAGGTGTATGTAGTCCATCAGCGTTGGGTAAAATTTCAGTTACTACTGCTCCAAGTTCCAAATCATTAATTAATCCTGCAACTTCTAGAAATCGTTCACGCATCGCATCACGCCATGCCGCACTTTCACCTGGTGGAAGACAAACTCGCATAGCGTGACCATCTTCATACACACGATAGAGACTAAGCAATGAGGCTTTAGGGAGATCAAGTGTTGCTTGCAATAATGAACGTATATGTCGTGAGAATTCTTCTTCATTAAATCCAGATTCGGTACGAAGGAGAACTGTAACTGTAGAGTCACATCTTAATGCTGTAATACCTGTCTCTGGTGTTAACATAATGGCATCACCAGGAAGTCGTTCTAATTCCTTATCATTAGCAATTTGTACTTCTTTATTTGTAGGAAGTAGATTTACCGCTGATTCTACCATTGTACCTGGTGGAAGCTGTTGTACACTTTCCATAAGAGTTTCCGGAACTACACCCACTCGCATTTGCTGTAGCGCTTCAGCAAATAATTTATCGGAAGCTTGTCGTACTTGTACACCAAGACGAACTTTAACAAAAACATTTTGAAATAGTTTTGAAGATAAAATAGATGCCTCATTAATTACACCAAGTTGAAGGAAATCACCACAAAGAATAATTTGAACTCCACCAAAAGGAAGATCTGGTGTTCCTGCTTCTTCTCTTAAGACACGATCAAATTCCTCAAATAATTTCTTAGATAACATCGATACTTCATCAATAATAATAACATCATAGTCAAGTAATTGATTCTTGCGTAAAAAATCCCCTTGTGAAGTTACACCCAAACTGTGATGAAAGGTTGAACCTCCAATATGACATCCAGCCACACCTGTTGTGGCAGTCATCGCCACTCGCAGTCGTTCTGCTTGCATGCGTTGATGAATAACTCGCAATAAAACTGTTTTTCCTGTTCCAGCACTTCCTCCAATGTATAGTAAATGACCTTTAAGAGCGAGATTAATAACTCTTTCTTGTTCTTCATTCAGTTCAACACTTTCCAATTCATCCATTACACTTTGAAATTTACTCGTCTCCGTAGTTTCACCAACTGTATTAATAATGGTAGAATAATGTCCCTTTGTCAAGTTGTTGATTTTAACCTGAATCATTTGTTGAATTGCATCTGCTGGATCTGGAATATTTCGGCTGCGCATAATTACACCAAGGGCTCGAATAATTGAAATAGGCCAATTTGCCGGAAGAGAAGCTGTTCCTTCTCGCATTTTTTGTGCGAGTTGATTAAGTACATCAGGTTTTTCAACATATACTTGACGTTTCTCATTAATACCAAATCCAATACTTTTCAAGCAGAGAACAGATGGAGATGTCTCAGATGTCATACGACCTATTAGCGCATTATAAACCAAAGTTGAGTTTGTAGGTTCATATATTTTATTTGTTTGCGGTGGAAGTTTCTCAAGATTTCGTTTAACTACTTTCTTGGGTTCTATTTGATGATCAGTACTCCCTTTCTTTATTACAGGTGGCGTCACTCCTTTTTGCAGGTTTGCCAATGGAGTTCCTGGTGGTGGTGGTGGTGGTAGACTTTCCTTTGCTCCCGTCATCATCTCAGAAGAAAGATTACTTGCTGTCGTAATAGATTTTTTTCCATATTTTTTCGTGTTATTTTTTACGTTATTTCTTACAGTTTTTGGTTGTTTTTCACCTATGAGACGACGAGAACAAAAAAGAGGACAAGTACTACCAACAAGCGTTGTGGTTCTTGTTGATCTTATTATTGTTGTTGCCGTCGATGGATGAGAGATTCCCATAGACCCGCCACATCCAGAAAGTGAAGTTGCAAACATCCCACCAACATTCGCTACTGGTAAAAGTAGACGACGGAGCATTTGAGAACTATCAGCTACCACTACCAAATAAGCGTTTGTATGTAATTAAAATTATTTATATATATATAAAAAAAAGGGAGATAAAATTAGTGCTCTATAATGAAAGGTAGGCGATTTTTTTTTTTTTTTTTTTTTTTGTATTATCACCACCTTTTTTTTTTTTACCGCCTTCTTTCCCACTATACGTACTCCTCTACTACTAACGCAGTGGGGAGGCCTCTATGCCCTAGATAGGAAGAAGAAAAAAAAGAAAGAAAAAAAGAGAGTAATAATAGAGTTTTTTTTTTCCTCTTTTTTCTACACATTTCTACTTCACAATATTATATAGTATGTTCAAAACTAGAGTAACATTCATGCGTTAATCCTCATCCCCTTCTTTTTCTTTTTTTTTTCTTCCAGTGTTTCACAGGCATACAGACAAATACAAACAAGGAGAAAAAAAAAAAAACAAATACATATAAACATGCACTCTTCTCCATCATGGCAAGACATAAAAGAAATATTCATCTATGATTACCTCCACACATAAAATGCAAGGATGGTAAATGAAATACCGAGAAAAAACTAACTAACTAAATTAAGCGTAAAAACAATCCAAAGATCAGTAACAAGAAGAAATAACCAATATAAACAAAAAACATAGAAGCATAGTTAGTGGCTATATATATATATATATATATATATAACCACTAAATAACTTCTTGTATAATGTCCACATTTTTCTTTAGCGTAGTCTTTTGCCTTTTTGCATTATCCCCATTATTTTCTTCCATTTCTCTTTCCTTCTCCTGTTGCCACTGCCGCCGTTTTACCTCAGCTCTAAGTTTCTCCCGAAGGGAGGCTTTACGTCTACCTGGTGTACGACGCCATGTAGACTGGAAAAAGTGTGGCAGAACCTTCACTTTCTCAACAGTGGGTAAGGAATCATCAAATAGTAAACATTCTGTTGCACAACGTACTAAATCATTTTGGAATGATGAAACGGTCAACTGCTCCGGGTTACGCACACGACTCATCGCAACATAAAGAAGATGTTCACAAGGCCACATACGGGATAATTCAAGGTGTACACGACCTACTAAAGTGAGTCCCTGTACTTTATGCACCGTGAACGCATACGCTAGACTGAGCGGAAGCGCTACGATGCCCATATGATAGTGATTTGTATTGGAGAGTCCTCCCACAGTAAATGTTGTGGGAGGCACGACAACAATTTTTCCTCCACCAAAATCAACTTCTGGTGCCAGTGCGGCATCAAATCCATGTTCGTACAATAGAGAGTCAATATATGCTTCCATGGCTTCCAGTCGTGCGGGTGTGGCGAGGTGACGTGGTAGTTTCCCTGGACGAAGTTCTGTAAATCCAACAACGACGCCGATACTTCCATTGACGAGTTCCGATGTGAGATTCGTGCGGAGCATCACGCGGGCGCCTCTTTTAAGTCGCAGTGGGGCCGCCATCGGGGCATGAGCGGCTTGGCGTGTGAGTGTGTGTTCATCGGCGTCTGTGTGGAGGCCGTTGGGGGATGTGATGATCTCCCGCAGTGAAACGCCGAGACCATGTGCTGGCAGCCACGACTCAAGTGAGCGGAGATGGGCGGCAAGTCCCGCCTCATCCTTTTCATTCATCTCCGCTGGAATACGAACGCGAAAAGCAAAGGCGTCTACAAATAGTTTATACAGAACAATATGTCGTTGACCAAGCAGGGAGAGAGTTAAGGTGGAAGCATGTGGTACTTTACTAACATATTCAAGAACATACTGCTCCAAAATAAGGGTTAGTTTATCTATATTAGATGATATATTCATACTCTCATCCTGAATTTGTAACATGTAAGTAGCAGACCAACGACCCGCCAAAGTTGGAGAACAAAGGTGAGATGGAAATACCGCTAACTCTCCATGTAATTTATCCAATTCTCTCTGATTAATGGCATCAACCTCTTTATTTGTAGGAAGCAATTTTACAGCACCTTCACCTTTATCTTTCATAGCTTTTGCACTCTCAGCAGGTGACAAAAATGTAACAGTATCTTGTAAATCATGTGGAACAACACCTCGACGAAGTTCTTGTAGTTGTTGTACAAATAGACTATTTCCTACTTGACGTACCACATGTTGTAACTTGAGCATTGCAAAGTGTCGTCTAAATATTGAGGAATGAACAAGTGGAGTTGAAGCGATTGCCCCTAATTGAAGAAAATCTCCACATAATATAATCTGTACTCCACCAAAAGGTAAATCCACACCATTAGCTCGACGTAATTGATATTCAAGAGATTCAAACAACTCTTTTGATAACATTGAAACTTCATCTACAATAATTACATCATATGCTCGTAATTCTGCACGTCGCATAAATTCTCCATAAATATTTACTCCAAAACTATGATGAAGTGTAGTACCACCTACTCGTGTCGCTGCAATACCTGTTGTTGCAGTTACAGCAACAGATAAACCCCGATTCATAAGTTCTTGTTTAATAACACGAATTAAAAGTGATTTACCTGTACCAGCACCTCCACCAATATATGTATTATATCCCTCCAGTACAAAATCTACCACTTGTTGTTGTTCATTATTTAAATCACAATACCTTAACAATCGTTCCTGGAATGTCATGTTAACATTGTATCTACCACTTTCAACTGGTGTACCATCACCACTAGACGTATTTGTGTTATCTTCTACAACACCAGCATTAGGACGACTTTTAATACGTTCATACTGTGTTTTCAACAACTCTTGAACCTTAGAAACAGCTTCATCTTTATCTTTTGAACGTAAAAGAATATAATAAAGTTGCTGATAAATGGTACTACGCCATGATTGTGGCCAACTCACCTCCTTTGCGATAAGTTTTACGCGTAATTCATCAAGGGCATCAGGAGATACTACATCAAGTTCCTGCGTATCGTGACGTACACCAATTCCCAGAATTCCAAGAGCACGTATACTTGAGGCAGAATGTTTTACAACACGATGTGTAAAAATATTGTAGATAAGGATATTATTATCTCTATTACTAGTCCCACTGCTTATAGAATGAGGAAATGGAGGTGCATTTACAAATACTGATAGTTTATTTTCCTCTTTTACTCCACTTGAGTAATTGTTAGGCTCCTTTTCTTCCTCAAATTTCTGGTCATTCCTCACATTCTCTGTATTAATTTCTTCCTTCAAATTTCCCAAGGGTTCTATATGAGAGGACGAACAGTTTCCACTTGAAATTTTAGCAACCATTCTAGTTTCACTGTTCATAATTGCTTTTCTTCTTAACTGTGTACTGATTACAGTAGTAGCACCAACAGAATAACGATCAGAACGCCTGGCTAAACAAATTAACCTTGGTCTATCCTTTTTATATTGTTGCTGTTCCTGTTTTTGCTTTTCCTCCTGTTGAGAATCCTGCACCGACAGTACTGAAGAAGATGCGATTTCACATCTTTCATTATCTGCCCCGCCTGTTCCACTTGTCATGAAACCACGACACTGATACCACAGTGGTAAGGCACCAAACGCCATAGAAGATGCAACTTGTTCTCCTTGTAGCCTTTGCTTCTGTTTATTATAATAATGATGATGATAACAGAAGCGCACAGCACCACTCCCAAACCCTCTTGGTACCCTTCTCGCCAGAGGAGGGGTATGGAAGGAGAGAACAACATGAGCAAGAGACGTTGACGCATGTGGTAACAGCGACGGCGACGGCGACAATAACAAAGAAGACGTTAACACGGGACAGTTAAAAGCATCGTGCAACGTTTTATCCTGAAAAGGTAATAGGTTTACAATACGCACCAGTGAACTGGCGTAATTCGAAAATATTGCCTTAACTGATATAAAACTAAACATTACAGATACCTTCCTTTCTTTTTTTTTTATTCTTTTCGTTTTTTTTTTTTCGCTTTATTCTGCCCCTTTTTCCCACTTTTTCTTTGATATAATCTCTCTCTCTTTCTCTCAAGTTATTCTCCCGAATAATTCTCCTCCCAAAACCCCTCCTCTATGGCGATGCCTCACAGAATTAAGGCGATCGTTTTATGTTTTCTTTTTTTTTTTTTTTTCTTCTTTAAGGGTACGTTACAAAACTCACCACTCTCGCTTGTTCTTATCACTCCAGTGTGTGTGTGTGTGTGTTTGTGTTTATATACCAACTAATATTTGATCTATTCTTATCAGACTCTATCTAAAGAAAAACTCTATGTATGGATACTTTCTCCTTACAACAAATCTGGTTGTTAGTACTATTAATAATATTATACTGCGGTCGCAGCGACGGTAAAAGGGGAATCACCCCCTCCAGCCTCCTTCCTGCACCCGAGCGGGTGGTCGTGAAGAGGGGGCCGGAGGAGGACTTGGGGTGCCCCTTTCGTGGCACGAGCGCCCACCCTTCTTTCTTTCCTTCTCTCTTTTTGCTTTTCGGTGGTGTATGTTATTTCTGCTTCTCTGTGTGAAGGGCCCCCACGGGATGAGGCCTCTTGAGGTCCTCTCTCCACTCCGTCACTTTGGCTGTCTCGCAAAGACACCGGCACCGCGGAATGCAAGCGGTAAAAAGGGCTTCCTCTCGTCACTTTTGGTGCGGCGGCCCTTCCGCGTGTGTCTTGTATTCATTATTTCCAATTGTGTATAATTGTTGTTTAAACAACAGTCATAAAGTAAAGAAAGGAAGAAAGAAAGAGAAAAAAAGGGAGGGGGGGGGAAATAGATAACATAGCCAAATGACATTCGAACCAAATGGGAAAGGAAGATGACAAGAATCCTCAATCAGAAATTTCTATTCAATTTTAAAAATCAGGAACACAAATAAATTATGATAAAAAGAATGAAAAAAAAAAAAAAAAAGAAACACTGCCAAAGCCACGAAATATAATGACTCAGAACTAAAAGAAAAAAAATGAAAAAGCCCCGTTTCCCAGTTTAAAAATAAGAAGATACCCAGTTCCCCCTATAAAATAAAAAAAAAGGGTGTGGGCACCAAAAAAAAAAAATACAACAACAACAATACTATTGTTTCGAACCTTTTCTCGGAAATTGCTCTACCATGCAATAATCCAAGACTTATTTAGTTCCGATAGAGACAGCATGATGCTCCGATGCCTGTTCCGCAATTTTCACAGTGTTTTTAATCTGCACAACCACGGCGGCGTCAACAATAAGAGTGGGCATTGAACCACCAGGGTCTGCAGCCGCACATCGTGTGAGACGAACACCCTCCACACCATTCTCGTCCACAGTCTCCTCTGCCAGCACACCAAAGAGAAATACACGTCCACGTGTGTAGTCAGAAGAGATCGGTAACTCCTCCGACGCGTCCTCTGCGACGTGCAAAAACACAGATCCCTGTGAAGGTTTGATGTCTTTGGTAAGGCCAATTGCCTCACATTCATCTGCGCTTGGGTAATAAGATCTGGCCTCACGGGTCACCATATCACGCGCAGCGACACCCATCATAGGAGAAATGAACTTTGTTTGAATCACTTGGACCTCTTTAGAAAGAGTCTTGACAATCTTTTTTTCTTTAATGGTCTTGTCCAGCTTGTTTGCAAGAGTGAGATCATTTAAAACTGCATCCAAATCTTTTAACGTCACATGAGGGATGAAGATGACCGTCTTTACCGCTTTCTTATCGGTCCACGGTGTCGTTGTTGTCCAGAGTGTAACACCACGCTTTGTGGAGTGTAATTTCCAATCACGCAAAAGAAGCTCTTGAACGAAGCGTTTCGCTATTCTGGGAACCTCAGGATCTGTGGAAGGCATTATTAAAATCTCTTTTTTCTTTGTGCTTTTCGCTTTGAATTTTCTCTCCAGAAACAAGGAATAAATTAAAAAAAAAAAAAGAACACGGAAATAATTTTCGACAACAACAACCTTTCCTCATACTTTTTATTTCCTGGGATAACAACTAGAAAGAGCGATACCAGAAAATATAATACCTATAGTAGTAGAGAGTGCGGCAAAAATGACTTGGTTCTTTCGTTACGTCTCATATATACACTAAACTGGTACTTTTTTGAAAAACACTAAGAAAAAAAAAAAAAAACAATAACAATAAAAAAGACCCCAGACGAGAAATGTACCTCATGCAGGCCTTGGCACTGTAGGTGTGGCTACAGGGGACGCACTATGCAGTCTCTTTGCAGCTTCCGCAATTTTCACAGTGTTTTCAATCTGCACAACCACGGCGGCGTCAACAATAAGAGTGGGCATTGAACCACCAGGGTCTGCAGCCGCACATCGTGTGAGACGAACACCCTCCACACCATTCTCGTCCACAGTCTCCTCTGCCAGCACACCAAAGAGAAATACACGTCCACGTGTGTAGTCAGAAGAGATCGGTAACTCCTCCGACGCGTCCTCTGCGACTTGCAAAAACACAGATCCCTGTGAAGGTTTGATATCTTTGGTAAGGCCAATTGCCTCACATTCATCTGCGCTTGGGTAATAAGATATGACCGCACGGGTCACCATATCACGCGCAGCGACACCCATCATAGGAGAAATGAACTTTGTTTGAATCACTTGGACCTCTTTAGAAAGAGTCTTGACAATCTTTTTTTCTTTAATGGTCTTGTCCAGCTTGTTTGCAAGAGTGAGATTATTTAAAACTGCATCCAAATCTTTTAACGTCACATGAGGGATGAAGATGACCGTCTTTACCGCTTTCTTATCGGTCCACGGTGTCGTTGTTGTCCAGAGTGTAACACCACGCTTTGTGGAGTGTAATTTCCAATCACGCAAAAGAAGCTCTTGAACGAAACGTTTCGCTATTCTAAGAACCTCTGAGTTAGTAGTGGGAACTTGCAATGACTCTGTTTTAACATTAGAAGTTTCCTTTTTGCTATCAGACGTTGAAGTTTCTGCCGAAGAAGATACAGTCTGTAAAAGAGGGAAAAAATCTCTTGAATTGACATACGTACGCAACATATTTGGTTTCGGACCCATTTCCCGAAGTAATTTTGCAATTTTTTCAGCCTTTGCTATTTGTTGTTTATTTGCGTGATTTTGGAAACTTGCAGGTATATTTCCTTTAGGATCCACATCGAAACAAAGTCGAAGTGTTAGTGAGTTATCAGCTTCTTCAAGACCCATAATGAGGTAAATATGTGCTGTTGCCCGTTGATGTTGACGTGAAACTAGTGATGGTGGAAGGGGAATTACATCTTCTGGACAATCAATACCACATTGAGCAAAAGCCATTAATTCTTTAACATTTTCTTTTTCAGAATTAAATTTTCGTATACCGAGTTCTTCCTGTTGCTTTGGTGTAAAAAGGTTCGCACAACTAATGCAACTCAGTACTTCCCGTGGTGCCGTACCCCAACCAGGGGACTTATAACGAGTGAGAACAATAAATTCATTCATACCTAGTGGTTTCACAAGTACTCTCCTTGAAAGAAGTGAATCATACTTATAGGCATATGTTGTTTTTTTATCTTCAAATTCAGGATCATCAAGAAATAACTCTTGTAAACTACCTACATTCGCAGAAGGAATATTTGCAGTGATTAATATGGCAGTCTTATGAGAATAGTTGCTTTGTTTTTCCCAAATTACGAGACCATCTGACCGTACTTCTCGTTTTATCCATCCATTAGACTCTGAAGCGAACTCTATAGTTCGTCGAACAATATTAGAAAAAGGACCTTCTGGTGCTATTTCATCAAGAAGGGCTTTTTCACGATCATTCAGAGGAGGTATTACTTGTCTTGCCTTATTCACATCTAAATTTTCCTCTTTTTTTACAGGAGTATCCAACGTTGGTTGAGGAGGAGGAATGACAGTCTCTTCATTACTAGGAACATCAAAGGAAGCAATATGTGAGTGAGATTTCGATTTTTTCAGGAAATTTTTTATTCCGGTATATAAAAGTGATAATATCAGTATTTGTGGAACGATCCTTTCTGTAATATCTTTCCAAATACATCTATGTAAACACAAGGTTATAATATAATCAAGCAGTACTAATGTTGTTAAGGTTAATACAACACGTTGAGGACTTCGCCATCCAAGTAATATTTCTATATTACAAAGTGTTTGCAAACACTGTTTATTTTCGTCGATACTCATTTCTTTACGGCGCCACGGAAACCCTACAACGAGTGTAATAAAAGAGAGAACTGGCCAATACAAGAAACCAGAAAACCAACCAACAGTTAGTACAATCAAATATACGAATGCTTCAATAGGGCGATACCCATACCAGAGACCTATAATTCGAATAAGAAACCTATCGTAGACATCTTGAGTTTGTAACGTCTGTTCAAATTCTTCTTCTAAAGTTTCAGTTTTATCCTGTACACCATTAGAAGTAGGAGTGAGGATTTCTTTTGTGATTTCATTCATCTCTTCATTATTTATCTTTGGTGATACGGTTTCTGCGGCAGCAATGCGTTGAAGAAATACATTCCAATTCTCTTCTGTGAATAGTGTTTTAATACTTGATCGTCTCTTACCTACGAGAGTATTATTACTCTTGTGACTACGCTCTTCCCAAACAGCAATTATTCTTTCCCAATCTTTCATGATATCTGAAAGATTATCAGCGACTGCCAAAACCATTCGAGAAGTTTTGTTCGCATCTTTTCCACTCATCGCCATTTCTTTCGTTGCTTCTGACTCGTAGTCCAGAGGATTAGAGGAACATAAAATACGATATTGTGCAAGATCGGTTACCCGATACATTAATCGATGTCTAAGACGTTTGTTCTTCTCAAGTCCTTCTAATGTACGTTCCTGAACACACAATTGTTTCTCTAAGCCACCAGCGAGAACTCTCCAAGAACGAAAGGAGGTAGAGGGAATTGGTTTTGTGAGAATAGTCATTTTTTTTTTTTTTTTTTTTTTGTTTTTATTCACTTTTCTTTTCTTTGCTCTTTTTTATTTTTTACTCTTTATCATATCGATAGAAAAAGAAGAAAAAAGTAAATAGGAGAAAAACAACAATTACAAAGACCCAATGAATCATAAAAAAAAAAAAAAAAACCACAAATTATTAAACAATAATAAATAATAATAATAATAACATTTAAATAAATCAATAAATACAGAGAACAGTAAACACAGAAAGAGCTAAAAAGAGGCTCCATCCAGAAACTACCGAAATTGATCAACTATACATCATTTCCATTTATGACCCCGGTAAACACAGAGGGTTTAAAATAAACATTAATAATAATAATAATAATAATAACAAGAAAAAATGAAACAGATAACATTCCATAAAGAAAAAAAGTTTGGTACATTAGCGGAGATTTTGGTATATTTCAAGAAACAAAAAGCAAAAAAGCAAAAAACAAAAAAACAGAAAGAGAAAGAGAAAAAGAAAAAAAAAAAAAAAAAACAGTGTCAACCATTCTTAGCTTGCCGATTCTGGTTTCGACTGTCTCTTTTCATTCGACATAATACTTGCCAGTACATCATTTCGGTGAGATAATGGTCGCAGTAATCCACGGCGCAGGAATGTTTCCATTCTCTGATCAAATGGAATGAGGGGATTTGGTTGTTTAAAGTGGCATAATACACAAAGGAAGTCTACAAACCCATCATACAGTAATACACAAAATTCTTTATTTCTCCCTGTAAGCATTGGCTGATCAGAGTTAGGATCAAGGATACTCACATTACCACGACGACGTTGGACTGGCATATCACGTGGTCGAGCATCTTGCTCACGGCGTTTTTCTTCTCGAAGAGCCTCTTCAGACTTTTTATTAACACTAAAAGGTTGAAAAAGTTCATAAATTAAATTCTGTGAGATCTCTGTACTTGTTAACATTGCATCACGTAACATATGTAGTAATTGTTCTCGCTCCATTCCAGAAACACCACATACTTCTTTACAATAGGAATGAAAGATTGTCATTAATGCCTTATTATAACGTATTAATACTTGTTCCGTCTTAATACTTGATCGGATACCTCTCACAATAACTAAAGGATCTTCCAAACCACAAGATAACAATTTGGGTGCAACAAGTTTGAAAATAAGTTGTGAAAGACCATCTCCAAGCCATGTAATACTTTCAGTACTTCCATCTGTATTTGGATCCAGTGGTGGAAACATTTCATGAGTTAATAATACCACTGCGGCGAGGAAATCAGGATAATAAAGTTCATTGACAAATAATGGTAATGGTTGGGAATTCCATTCATCCATATGTAATTCTGTTACTTTAGATTCTTTTCGTGTTTCCATTAATGTAGTTGCTACAGAATAGAAAATACTTGTTAATTGTTCTAAATCCACTCGAGATCCTTCAGGATCATCAGGAATAACAAGACCAGTGTCAATCCATAATAATCGCCAACCACCAAGATCAAGTGATGGCATTGCACAAGAACTTGAAAGAGTACTACGTCTAAGAAATAATTGTAAAAGATCATTTCCACAATTTCCAAATGCTTTCATTAAGTATGATTTATCCATTTCAGTAAAGTAACCTTCATTACGCCATTCATCATCATGCCAAGCATTATCACGTTTCATAGTTCCATTCTCAATAGCCTGACGAATTACCCCTTCACGCTGATGGAAAACTTTCTTTATACATGGCATATCCACTGCAAATACCCAATCTCCTTCACGTTCTAATCCAACTTGTAAGGCAGAAGGAGATGCACGTCGTCCAGTAAAAATACCACGACTTAAACTACTATATGTGTTTACGGGTACTAAACAAGAAACTATAATATGCCAACGATGAACTTCAAGTGAACGATGTAATGCAACACCCAATGCTCCAAGCATTTGGGCTAATTCTGGAGAATCAAATGCCACACTTGGCCAAAAATTACCACGTAAAATAAAAGGATGAGCCATAGTACTAATTAATGGTTGACAATATTTTAAAAATAATTGCCAAGGACTACGTTCTTCTTCTTCTAATTGTGATAGAAGTTCTCGAGTTATAGGTGTATCACTAGATTCTGTTTTTTCTGTTGTTTCTTCCTTTCCTCCTTCTTCTGATAAACTCGCTCCACCACTGTGTTGTTGACGTAAATAGGTACCATTGCTAAGAAGATATAACATAGCCTCACGTTCAACCATTGCACTTTGTTTTGCCTTGTGGTTAAATGGATGTGCAAAGCGTACATAAAGGAGAGAGATAAGAGTAATAGCTGCACTACGATCTCCTCTTGCCAAAGCATAAGGATCCACTACTTCCATCATCTCTACACGATCTGCAGCTGGTGGAAGAGTCATCTCAGTTGCCTTTATTGCGGCTTCTCGAATACGATTCATACGTTTTTGTATATATTCATCTCCCAATTGTTCTGGTCCTTCTATTAATTCTGTTGCAAACTGTAACAAAAGAGACATACGCCCTGATGGTTTTAAATTAAGAAGATCACCAAAACATTCAGAATAGGTTGGAAAAGGAGCTTCTAATTGAACATTATGCTGCATTAATAATTGTCGTCGCTGTTCTGTAAAATCCAAATTTTCAGAAAGTCTTTTACCCGTCCCTTCTATAGTTGTATGCGCTACCGCCGTTTTATTTTGGTAACGTGGTAAGGCGAGATAAAAGAGTAAACGGCTTATGAGTACACCACTACGCACTTCCTCTGAAAAGTTATGAAATCGAGTTGAGAGAGCTCCACCTTTCAAATCATCAAGAGATTCCAAATCATCAAGACAATTATTTGCCCAATCACGTAATATGGTCTGCGCATCTGGCATATACCGTGTACTGGAGATAACAAGAGGGGCAATCTTTCCAAATAATCGTTCTTCCTCTGCGCCAGGTGCCAATTCCGGTACCTCATCTCCATTATCTCGATCTACTCTCTCATTATCAACAGGAATGACGGCTGATGATAAGTTTGGTGTTGTTGCTGCATCCTCACCGCGTGAAGAAGTTGCATCGCCAGAAGCCAATCGCCGCCCTGTAGGTAAAGTAGTTGTAGAGTGCAGTGGTACAGGAAGACTAATCCTCCGGTTGCTGTTATTACTTATATCGTTAGTTTCCACAGGACTGGTTTTCATATTACGAGCCACACGGCGATCATCACTGTACTCAGAGGCAGTTGTAGAGGCACCACACATTTCACCCACAACTCGCATAACAGTACGTTGCCATGGTCGTTGTTGTTGACAACGTACGCGAGACTTTAACTGTGCAATACGTCTTTCTAGTTCTCGTACATCAAGTTCTCTTTCTTGAACAAGATTACAAAAATGTAATCGTTTTTCTTCAGAGTTAAATAAAGCTTGCTCTAATTCTGTTGCTCTTCCTTTTAGGCTATTATTTTCACGTTCTAGTTTTTGAATAAGACGATTTTGAATAGCAATTTCTTGACGTAGATACCCACTAATTTTTTCCATCTCTTCTAATTTCTGTAACATACCTTCAAAAGTTTCTACAGCACGTTTTTGTAAAGCTGTACCTTCACTAGAGTTATTATTCTCTTGTTTAATAGAAGTCATAAACGTCTGTGGTATAGGTTTCATATCACTTGGTTGCATTCTTTTATTATTAGAATCATCCACATATTCCCATCGTGTCTTTGCCTGTTCCATATCTGTAGGGGAAAAAGAATCTGAATTAATTCCAGACTCTTTAGGAGTCAGTTGTGTCGGTTTTTGTGTAGATGGTAAAGAATCTTCATTCTGTTTTAACTCATCCTCTAATTCTTCTTCCTTCTTCTTTGCCTCACTTATCAAATTCTGTGTTTTCTTTTGCCCTTTTGTATGTTGTGCCGTTTCTGCGAGTTTAATCGCAACAAATTTGTTTTTATCCGGCATTACCACCGATGGAAGAATATCCATACCTTCTGTAAATTCTGGAAAGAATTGCACACGACGGGCGGCATGTTGAGCCCCTGTAAGGAAAGAATTATACTTTCTTTCAATTTCATCAAGTTGAGATTTAAAACGACCTTCTTTTGCAGTAAGTCGCCATTCTCTAAAAGTCTTTTGTAAACGTATGGCATTATGAAGACGTTTAAATATACTTTCCAATCGCATTAATGCCACTCCACGTCTTTTTTCTCCCACCGCACTCTGTCTCCATGTACGCCAAGCCCAACTTTTCATAAATGTTTCTAAATATCGAACATCTTCCTTTGCTTGCACAGTAGCTGTCTTCATACTACGTTGACGAATAAGATTAAGCTGTAGTGAATGTAATTGTTCTACCTGTTCTCCAATAGCTCCAGCTGTTGGAAGTAATTTTTCACTAGGTGTGAAATTTTCGTATACATGAGGTAATAGATACTTAGTAAAAAGTTCCAGGGCCCACGCCATACCTGGAACCATAGATTTTGTCTGATCTAATATACGCCAAAGAAGCGCAACACTAAATGCCGTTTCAGCAGCAAGTAAAGGACGAAAACAACGTTCTTCTGGTAGAGAAACAAGAGGTAAGTATGATGGAATTGCATCATTATAATTGGAAACTCTTTCTCCTGCTTCAATCATCTCTATTTCTGAAGTCAAAAGAAACTGAATATATGTATTACACTGTAAAGAGGATTGAAGTGAAGTATTGGTATCATCTGTATTACTGCATCCTTGACATCGTAATAACATTAAGAAACGTCTATGAACACGATTCATTACAGTCTGAAACAATCGTTCATAAAGTTCTAATGGCATTGAAATTCCACGATCTGATGATGGGAGATTTGCTACTACTGCTTCTGATTCTAATGATATTGCCCCTTTACCAGTTAGAGTTTTTAATCCTGATTTGGTTGTCAATTCTCCATCAAATTCTCCCCATTTACTATATAATTTACCAGGAAAAGTAGTTTTCTGATTTTGCTTTAATTCATGCATAGCCCGTCCTTCTTCCTCTGTGAGAAATTGTTTAAAGCAATCCCACAATGGACCACGTAATTCTTCCTCTACGTTAGCAATAGTATCTTCATTTTGGCGACATGCATTGCGGGTTTCCCACCAAGAGAAGAGTACTCGATTAAGTGATCGTTCCTTTTCCAATCGACGTGCCGCCTCATCTGGTAAAGTAGGAAAACACGAAGATTTTAAGGTAATAGCATTAGCACTAGCAGCAAGTCCTAAACATGGTGTCATTAGTAATTTTTTCTCAGGACGCATAAGTGCTTCATCCTTTGGTAACATATAAGGCGTATGCGTCTCTGGATCATTTGAGAAAACAGGCAAAACATTTGGTTGTCGGTCAAGTGCAGCTTTCAAAAGATGCGCCGCTACCGTTTGGGCGAGTTGTGCACGGTTCTCTGTTTGCTTGTCTGATATATTACTCTGGGTTCCACTTTCACCAGATACCTTTGAATAGATTCGACGTCCAAATCGTAATGCTTTCGCACTGGCCGGACCAGCAATACCTGGTAGTGCGTCACCACTCTTTTTCTTACCACTTTCATTATCTGCAAACTGTTGCGGCTTCCGTGTGTTATTGTTTGGTATGGAGCCCTTAGAAGTTGTCGTAGTAGTCGTCGTAGTTGTTGTTGCTGTGGTTGTCACTGTGGTGGTTGCTGGGTTCGTAGAGGAAATGAGTGGTTGAGGCGTTGAGGCGCCGGAATTAACGGATTTCCATTGCTGTTGCCGATGGGTTACACGGCTCATTGCTTACGCTTAACAGGGAAAACATAGAGAGAGAGAGAGAGAAAGAGAAGTAAAAGCAACAACAAAAAAGGAAAAAAAAAAAAGAAAGAGAAAAGAGAGTGAAATAGAGAAAGAGAAAGAGAGGAAGAGAATAGTATCAAGTAGTATTACATCTTACTTTTCATTCCTATTGATACAACTAATACGAAATGTACAAACCAACAACCGCACACGCACAAACACAAACAATCAAGCAAAGAAAAAAAAAAAAAAAACATCAGCAGGTATATTATTATATGACCCATCAAGCAATTCTTACTGGAAAAAATCCAAATATACGCTGTGCAATGATGTATCCAACTACAACTATAAAAAGAACCAGAGATGCACGAAGTATAAGATCATCTGTAGATTTCACTGATAAAAGTTTTCGTACTAGTAACTGTGCCATTTCTACTGTTGCATTTACATCTTGTAAAGAAGTCTGCAGTACCTCCAGTGACTCTGAACTTCCCGCAAGTTCATCTAAAGCTCCTTGCACTTTTCGAAGTTCAACATTTAATAACGATCGTGTGTGTAGTAGTGAGCGGAGTGCATTGGCGGTGTCTGCAGCCCCGTCAGAGCCACTTGTCTCCGCCGCCGCAACGGCTAGTGGAATGGCACGACGAATAGCCGCCCTATGACTCTCCAACTGCACGAATAGAGCCGTGGGCACCGGACTGAGTGAAGATCCCGCATGTGATTGATGTAGATGTAGTTGTTGTTTTTCTTTTACGGTTGCGAGTAACTTCGCTACACGTTGGGCGGTGGCGATGGCGAGAACGAGTGCGCCGTGTGTGCGTTGGCTGCGACTCTCCTGATGTGATTTCAGTGCGCGGTTGAGATCGGTGATCACAACAGCCGCTCTCTTTTCGAGTGCGGTGATAAACTCCAGCGATAGGCCATCATCCTCCACACTGCTGCTGTTCGAGCCAGCACGATGGAGCATCGCTTCCTATCACTATCACTATCTCTATTGTAATAAAGGAGAGAGTGAAACACAGCAAAAAGAGATATATATATATATATATATATATATATATAGATTGTATGTATAGATGTATATTAAAGGATAAATTATCATGGAGGTTTTTTTTTTCTTTTTTGTTTTTGTTTTTGCTTCCTCTCCCTTATTTACTTGAGTACCGTGCAAACAATCAGTTTCTCCCTCTTATTCTTTTCCCCACTCTATGCGAAATATATATATGTAATAATAATAATAATAATAACGTACAAATACAAAAAAAGAAACTTTTTTTTTCCAATATCCAGAAAAAGTCTATCCGATACCAATGGCACAGAAAACAGTAACAGCAAATAATAAAGAAGGAGAATGACAACAACAAAAAAACAAAAGAAAGAATAAAACGGTTTACCAGTTATCATCACTAATTACTCATTCCCAATAATAGTCTCAGAACTTCTTTTGGTGGTTTCCGTCCTTCAAACATGTCCATGAGAACTTCTATGTCATCACATACACTGCTGTTACTACCCGAGTTCGTTAAGGACATCGAGGAACAACAGCGGTGAACTTTAGTCCCGCTACTGATGCTGCTGTTATAGTTATCATTACTATTCTTATTATTGTCAGTGTTATTACTGTTCCTTCCATCTCCAGCATAATAACACGTCTTCTCCACAGATGGAGGGGAATTGTTTATTCCTTGATCAAATACTGTAGCGGCATACAAACGTTCCTCTAGAAGCGCAACTTTTCGCTGTAGATGCTCTATTAAATGTTGATCATGTTTACGATGGAATGATGTAAATGAATCTGATGAAGAAGGATCTACCAATATGGTAGATACATACGGTTCTGTTGTTGTTTTACTACTCTCAAAAACTAAATTGTTTGGTTCTTCACTAGTACAATTCATCGTAGTTGATGTCAAACACTGTGCACATTCTATATTTGAGGATCGTACATCACATGAGGCAACCAGTCGCTTCAATTCCTGTTGTGATGAAACAATAACACTATCCCCAACAACACTACTAGGAGTACTAGTAGTAGCAGTAGTATTAGTAGAATTCATACAAGCAGAAAAGTTGGACTCTCTCAATACACTTTTCACCTTTTCTCCATTTCCTCTCTCTGGAGAGAAATGGAAATCATTATGATGATGATGATGATGAACACATACATTACAATTATGTGTATACTGTTCTTCTTCTTGTTCTTGTTCTTGTTGTTGTTGTAACCACTGTCTCTCCTGCAGTACACGGCCTACTTCCTTCTCTACTGTACGCATCACATGTTCTCGTGTAACTCGCCGTAGTCGTTCCACAAGACTAAACGCCAAACGTTCATCCACATGTTGTATGTATCTTTCTAATAAACCCAATGTGTATTCCTCCACTGTACGACGACACCCTGTTGACATTCGTCGCTTCTTATCTTTTCTACTTCTGCTTCGTCGTGTTCTCTCACTCTTTGTGAGAACAACAATTTGCTCTGCGGTAGAATTTGTTGGTGTCTCTTGACTAACGTCTACATACATATCTTCATTCCTCCTTTCAATCTCACTCTTATAATCATTTTTCTCGTTCTTGTCGTTATCATTCTTCTTCTTTTTCTTGCTGTTGTTGTTGTCGTCGTTGTTGCTCTTGTTGATATCGTTGTTGTCGCTATTATTTGGTATCAAAGTCTTTCCGAGGGCTTCCCGCAACTGTTTGATCTCCTCCTGCTGCGATAGTGCTTGTGTGGTGAGCTGCGCAATCATGTGCTCATAACGACTTACTGTGGACTCACTCACACTACACTGCAGTGGCATGTGTGTCCTACACTTATACAAAATAATAATAATAATAATAATAATAATAATAATAATAATAATAATAATAATAATAATAATAACAGCAAAGAAATAAAGAAAGAAATAGAGATAGATAAAATAGAAAGAAAGAAAGAAAGAAAGAAAGAAAAAAAAAAAGAGTTTGGGATCCATCTTCTGTGCAGCGTATAGGTACAGCCAAAAAAAAAAAAAAAAAA